AAAAATAAATATATATTTACATTATTATGGATAAAGTCTATTAAGACGTAACTCATTAATCATCGAAAACTACTCTATATAAACAGTACACATTTTTGATTAGATCGATGTCCATCTGTAGGTCTGTCTAAAACGTTTTAAAATTCAATGAATTCACTTATAATAATAGTAAAAATCAATCAGATGGCAGACGTCTTGCGAAACATAACTATACTACTATTGTCTACTTATTACCAACAATAATATTTCAACAAAACAATACCCACGATGAAGTCGTTTGCCGTCCTAAATTCAATTCAGTTTAAAATATTTGACGTACCGGATGTCATCGCACAATAAAAAGCAGAATAACACCACAAAACTAAAATGGTAATCACAAATCTTGCTAACTTTAATCGATTCCAAATAGGTTTATTCAAAAATAGCTTTATTTGTTACAAATTATTCAAATATACAAAAAATACTAAATTAAAATAAAACTTTTATAACTGTATGTATTTAAAACATATTAATTCAAAAACAAACTGTCTTGTACCATTTATAGATATACTATATATAATTGAAAGTCTGGTCTGACTAAGCATTACCTCAATGTAATTACGATCTGTAATATTTTTTAATCCTGAAATATCGGATCCTAAAAGTGTATTGCCTTCAGAATTTCATAGCAAATGGAGTAAAACGCTTGTGTATAGAATTCACGTGTCACATGCAGGATAAACCTCTCCTAAAATAAATGTGACTTAAGTCAAAGAGACATATCTCAATCGACTCTCAAAAGTAGGAATATATCTGAGGACTTAATAGATAAATTTTGAACTCAACAGAATTTAAAAACACAAAATAAATAATTCATTTCCAAAATACATGATTTCATATAATCAAACCATAGACATATTATAAAGATCTTACATAAACCACATAGACACCCACCTCGTTACCATATTTCTCCTCAAGGAATTTAAAAACGGCGAATGCCGAAATACTTATTTAAACATATTTTAATTATTAAAGTGTTTTGCCCTTTACAGTAAATGGTGAAATATCGAACGGAATTATGAACTCGTTCGTTCGTTACGAACGAACACAAATGATGTCAGTCTGGAGATCAGACGAAGAATCACCATTGCTAATAGGTGCTACTATGCGCTCAGTAGGGAATTGGGATATAGAACTCTCTCTCGACAAACGAAACTTACGCTCTATAGGTCGCTCATCCTCCCTGTGCTTCCGTATGGCGCAGAAGCATGGAAGTTATCACAGAATGATGAAGCAGCACTGGGAGTGTTCGAGAGAAAAGTTCTTCGTAAGATCTTTGGTCCTCTACGAGTTGGCGACGACTACCGCATTAGAATGAACCAAGAGCTGTACGAACTTTACCACGACATTGATATAATTCAGCGCATTAACATCCAGCGGCTTCGCTGGCTTGGTCATGTCATGAGAATGGATGAAGATGCTCCAGCGAAAAAGATGTTTGAAGCAGTAGTTGGCGGAAGAAGACGTAGAGGTAGACCGTGTCTCCGGTGGAGTGATCAGGTTGAGGGAGCACTAACTGGACTTGATATACGAGACTGGAGAAGGCGCGCACGCTGCAGAGGCGCCTGAGGAAACATGCTGCGTCAGGCCGAAACTCGGTAACGGGTTGTTATGGCCACATAAGTAAGTAAGTTATGAACTCGTTTCCTAATGCAGGAAGTAAACATGTTGTGATATACAGAGCTTGGGATATATGTACATTACTGGGGACTTTTATTTTCAAATAAACTGTATAAAAATAAATATAAAAACAACATCTTTGTTAAATAGACTTGCTTTAACAATTATTTACAGCTTCTTGGGTCTTGTATTTGGATTTTAAAACATTGATCTAACAAAAAAACTCTATTTTGATTGTGGCTTCATAAAAATATACTCCTTTGATTCTAATACACTCGTATCAAAGTTTTTTGAACATATCTACATATTTCTTATAGACCGATTTAACTTTTAATTCGGAATGGAATAGCATCCTTTTGAGATTTGTCAATAGACAACGACGAATGAGCCCACAACTTAAAATACAATTCATATCATTTGATGGTTCGACTTGTGTCTTTACGTAGTATTCATAGAGTCATGATGAAAGACTCATATTTTTCTCTCTATTTATGGTAACTTCTTGCAATTGTATTCTATCCCATGAATACTGCTACATAATATTCTTTGTTGATGGTATTTCTATTTTCAAGGTAATCGACGAATATTACACCGAGTAGGTTTCAAAATACAGATGTCTTATCCTATTTGACCAACTGTTACATTGTATGTAATAACTTTTCTAATAGCATTTTCAAGGATAAACGTTGGAATAAAATATTGTCTACTTTTTTTTTTGATATATTTACGATGTCAATTTTTTTTACTTGAGCAACTAAAGTGTTCGATCTAAACGATGTCTACAAAACACATCATCAATATTTATTGAGTTTTATAAAATTTTTCAAACTATTCTTTTTTTTTAAGTTACATTAATATTTTTCTTTAGTTTGAAAATTTAAAGTTAATTAATTCAGAAATACCACTTTCACTTTTCAACTAATATTCGAAATGTACATATAAAAATGGTATGCATAACATTTTAACATTATATTCAAACGATGATTTAAACAGCAGCAAAGACTCTTAATCATATTTTATATGTAAAGTTGAGATAAAAAAATGTATTCCCTTAAATCCATGCAAATATATTTGACTCATTTGATAATGAATACAGAGCTATGTCAGAAAATTTAAATTCATCTAAATAGATTTGAAATCATAGAAATCTTATACAAATCTAATCTTATACAAATAATACTAAATTGATTATATTAAATGAATCACAACATTTACGTATAATGTTATAAGTGATTATAACATAAAATACTAATGAAAATAAATGATATATGAACAAAATATTAAACTTTTGAGATCATAACGTTTAAATACGAAAGCACCAGAAAACAATATGAATCTTTTTTTACACATCTTTTAAAATTAAATAAATGATCAACGAAAATGCTTATGACTCGGTACAAGAATGAATTCATTTCATGGTATGAGGAATTAGGGGTATGCAAAGTTCATATTCATTGCTTATTATCTCACCTTTGAAATTATTTCTTGTATTACACAAATCATCGTAACAACATTCTACGTGGTAGGAATTTGACTTTTCGTGACACCAGGCTGGATCATCAGGCGGGATGTGAGTTTCTAAAGACATGCATCTAACACAATAACCAATCATTTTAGAGTTTAAGTTTTTGTTAACCACTTTTTCACTAAAACTAACTTATATTCTTATATTACTCGCATATAATAATTATAAAATAATCTATATCTTACGTATCTAATATTTACGTAGATCATTACAAAATAAAAACAGATTTAAAAATTATTTTTTTAAAATAAAAACACCATTATTAGACCGAGGATCATTCTCGGCCCGATCATTCAAGGTTGCCTAAATAACATCAACATCAACATCAACATATATGGTATATCAATTCTAATCTAAGCCTCTAATAGTTGTGAATTGCGCACATTTTATAATATATCATATAATATATATTACTATCTGTGTTAGTAGAGCAGCTAGGAATTATAATTACAATAAAAAATATATAAAAATAAAATAAAAAATTATCGAACTACATAATCATAAAATTGTTACTTATCTGTTTATTACTAAGTACATTGCCCATTAAATTCTACTTAAAAAAAAATATCCTTAGCACATGGTTTATGGTATAGAATTAATCTATCTAATAACACTTGACACCAATTCAAATAATTAATTTATATTTTTAATATATTACAGTCATGTTATTAACAAACATTCTTTGAAGGTGCAGTTCACTTTATTTTAGAAAATAAAGTTCATATAATCAAAAATACGAAAGGAACTTAATTGACTTATGTATAATTTTTTTTTTTTTTTTTTTTTTTTGGATCCGCAACCAGTCAATAGATATTATATATATTTTAATAAGGTAAATGAATTAAGTATTATTATATATAATAAAAAATATTGCATGCAGATTACAAGTACAACACTACTTGAGACATTATTACCAAGTATTGTAATTATTCAATAAAAAAAGAACAAAAGTGAAGTGAAGTGAAGTGTTGGATAAGTAGATTAGAGTAAGTAAAATTTAAGTTGCTACAATGCAATTAAAAAGCTTGTACCGCAGCATCGTTCGGTTGCTGACTAACTTGTGCATCAATCTAAAATGTTAAGTAATTGTTAAAAGTGTATTTGGTGGTAAAGTTTGAAAAACAAAAGTGCGCAAATTAAAAGATAAAAAATAAATTCTATATTTTAATTATTGGTGTATATAATTGTGTAAATTTACAATATTGATTCAAATATATTGGAGTATGTTGTTAAAATGTATTTAATTCATAGGTATTGTACCTGTGGTGAAATTCAATTTTAAAAGCTCATCTTTATTGCAGAAATCATAATCGCAACATTTAATCTTATATATATTTTGCTTTTTACGGCTCGTCAGGCATTCAAGCGGTTCACGCTGTAGATCATATACTTTTTGGAGGCATCTACGAGTACATTATATGCATTGGGTGTAAGTTTGGATCAAGTTCAATTATTAAAAAACATATTGTAAAATTGTTGGCGTTGTAAAGGCATTCGTATTCATTAAGTTAGTAAAAACAAATTTTAAATATAACACAAATAAAACACAAATAACAGAAACAAATTAGGGGATTTTAAATTATGTATATGTAAAATTTATATTTGTTACGATTTGCAGTTTACGACTGATTTGCAAAGAAACAGTTTAGAACGAAATGTTAGGTGATTTAGAACAGTTCGAACAAGCTAGGTTGCCATTATTTTCTAATTAAGTATTTTTTGTCCTTGCATAACTGATGACATATTCAATTCAATTAAAGTAAATTTGGTAGCAAAAAACAAGCTATGTGACTTCTTACTAACGTAACAACAAGTTACGCTAGTAACAATCAAACAATTCGATCAACGAAATGTTTTTGCGGGTTCCTCGCACCTTCTTTATTTCGCTCCAGATCTATCGGATGCAATTTTATTTTTGGTCTCAATTTTAAATTACACAAATCACGCTCTTTGCAGCAGGCATGTCCACCACGAACAGCAGCTGGACGTGCTGTTGGTCCACCATTAGTACCATCATTACACCATATGAATCGACCAGGTGGGAAACTTTGAGTTAAATTTAAACATCTACGAATAGGGTCATTATTCGACACCAGAATATATTTTGTGATTTATTATGATATACATTATGTTATATTTATTTAAATATTTTATATTTATATTGTCTTCTTAAAAGAATAACTTACATACAAACTTACCTATAACTAAAAGTTGTCGCATCTGAACCTTTTTCTACAGACGTAAAGCAATATCCATCTGTTTCGCATATAAAATTTGTTTCCTTGCAAATATCGCAATGACATTTTAGAAGCCCTTAAAAATAATATAGAAAATTGATAAATTATTTATATATATTGTATGTAGTATTAGAGGGATTTCGAATACAAAAATTTCTATTAACAAAAATAATCACTAATTGCTTATTACTAGAAGTATTCTAATAACATATGGGTTCTATAAAGAAATTTTTTTACTTAAATTTAATTTGTCTGAAGTTACATTTTATTTCAGTGGAATGACACTTTTGCAATATCATTTTTGGGCTAGTATTTTGGGCACGTCATAAGTCAACTGTTAACTGACACTATATTAATATTAAGAAATGTCTGTCAAATCATCACTCAAAAACTTATTCTGAGCAGCGTTTATAAATTACTTATATATGTATCCAAAGGTAAATGTTTAATAAAACATGTTTAATAAAACAGAGTGCAACAGCCCACTTTTGCTTTAGCTTACATTGGGAATTAAGAAGACCCAAATACGATCTCATGAACTATCAACACACCTTGAACATATCCGTATTTGCTGCAGTTTAAGGACTGCTTTCATGATTGTGAGAAACTTGTTCAAAAATTAAGAAAATCAGAATCAAAATGTTACTTCCAGTTGAACACACGACGGGGTTCATATCTAAGTAAACTAGTTCTAGACGGGTTTTGGTTTCCGTAATACTGTGATATATGTTACAGAATGTCACAGAAATCAACAAGTAATTGAAGCAAGTGTTTTGTGACTATATAATTTCCTAAAATAGAGGTACGGTATGGCCTCCAAAATCATGCAATCTAACGCCAGTAAAATGTTTTAGTTAACAGTATTTGAAGTCATTGGTGTATATGGCCATTGTAAAAAAGATATTAGGACTAAGTCTACGTATTTCATATGAGTATATCATTTTACTAATTTTGCGATTTACTTGCTTAATCAACGCTAAACTGATAATAGAGAATTAGGTATTTCAATGAAGGTCGAGTTTGCAATAATTGTCTGTCCAAGTGGTAAGTCAAGTCTTTGTTCATATTTGCCTTCATCCTTAAAAAGTAGAATTTTCAGATATTAATGAACTTTATCGCTTCTTTTATAAAACAAAACGCTAATAATAGAGTGAAATATAGTGATTTTGGATGTACGATGGACTAAACTTTAGTGCCTTACTTTCATTTGAACTAGTTAAGTATTGAGATGTTTATGCTATACTGATCTCCTGTCCAGATACGGCATTGTATTTGCTTGTGGGATAGAGTCCGTTCCGAGTGATTTAATGAATTTAAATCTTCTGCAATAGTAATCGTATTTTCTGCAGTGCAATATACTTCATTTTCATTTCAATTACTTAATTGTAAATAATTTATTGGAATCACAAACAGAGAAAACAACAAGATTTAGATATTTACATCGTCTTCATTACATTTCAGGCACATTCAGACAGTTTTTAGATAATATTCAAATGAAATTATGTTTCAAACCTGATTAGCAGTCACTATATACTCTACTGCTGGAATGATTTGATTATTTACAGTTTATTCAGACATTAACTGGTTTTTACTTCTACTAAGAAACAACATATTCATTTCAACCAATAATTCGTGATCAAAATTTGATTTTCTTGTGTAGATTTTTATTGGATAGCACTATCATAGAATATTTTTAAATACAAATATTATTAACATAAGGCTTTGGGGAAACATCTACTACAGCAGAGATATTGCCGATTGCATAATATATTATTTAACTTCTAAATTTAAATCTATAACTTAGTTTTGCGACACTTATTTCGAATTTAGATTCTAACTTTTTGGAAGATTTGTCAAAAACGCTAACAGAATATTTTTCCACACTTAAATAATACCCAGATAGTATAGTAAATTAATATATCACTGGAAAATTTAATGTAATAGAGCAAACACTGTCTTGAATAACAGCGTTTAAACCCTAATTTTTAATTTACTGACACTGAGAATTCACTTTAACATAAAATAACAGATTATGATTCAATATATTCAATACACCTTAAAATTTAATAGGAAAATAATTCCTGAATTTTGAAATAGGAAATTGGCTATCGCATTTTCAATAATTATTATTTAAATTAAGTCAAATATATATTAAAATAATAATAAAAATAAAAAAAAACATATACTCTATAACATTCAGTGTACATATTGAGAAATAAGTTTCAGCTATAAAACATAGGTATTTTCACAGTTAATTCATTAAACTCTCAATTGAATATTTTTGTGATAAATAATATGTTACCTTTAACTGCATAATTTATATGCCACCTGGAAAATGTTTAAGGTTAAAGGTTGGGTTACAAAAATGCATTATTATAGTTAGGCAACTGAAAACAACTGAACTTTCATTTTTCGAACTACTATACTATATAATTAGAAACTTCTCTAATTCGTCAAAATTATTCGCTACTTTTACCTTACAGGTAACATCCTCAATAATTCGCATACATTTTTGGTATATTTTGCTCTCTAGTTCGAAGTTTTGGAAAGCTTAGATTTGAATCACAAATTCTAAACCGCTCTATTTATGTTAATTTTTATGAGGATATTATTCTTATAAGCAATAAATTTATATAAATATTATACTTTTAACAATGAATAGATATATGGTAAAATACGAAAGATATTGTATAAAATAAAATCATATAAAATGTAATGAAATATGTGTATATATATAAAATATCTGTATTTCTTTTTTTTCATTTGAAAAGTTGAGTTGTAAGAAAAATAATTAAAACTCTTATAATTATAACTTATTTCTTTAACCTCTATAATTCGAAAATTCTGAAGTTTGATAATTTCATTGTCCCTTGGTATTTGAATCTAAAGATTCTAATGTTTATCCTTTTCACATTTTGTGCATAACAAAATCTTATACTAATCGTTTAAAAGTCTAAAAATACAGTTTAAAAATTATTTCCTCATATATTTCTCTTTTTCATATTAAATAAAAAGTATACAAAACATAATTTGTGATTAGGCTGAAATATATGGCATATAGTTAGTTATGTGCTACATATATAATTGGATAAATAAATAAAAATATAAATTGTAATATGATTCATTTTTTGTGTAAATAACTTTTAACTATCAATCTGTATATTGACAAATAATATTTATATATTCAAATATAATTAAAATACTATTAATGTTTAACTGCCACTTACTGTCACGTTTTTTATGGCCATAATATACTGTAGGCAAAGTATTTATAGACATAGGCGTTTGTTGCGGCGCTAATATTGATGGAATTGTTTCAGATATCTTAAGATCAGTAAGGATATTATTATTTTGTGTTTTGTTTGAATACTGAGCATTTGGTAGAGGATTCCAGTTTGGAGACGCATTTATTGTAATCCCATGGTTGGTAGTATTTAAAACGATTTCAACTGGACTAGCTAGAATTTATGAAATAGTGAACAATTTAGCCAATAATAATTTTAAAATGTATATTCAAAATCATTCATTACACACCCGCAACTCTGTAGTTTATGGTGAATGCCCCAACAAACGTAATTATTACTACGTATAAAAACTGTGGCTGCACGGCTATGTAAATATTTCGTAAAATTCTCATTTTGGACATCGTAAAACTAATATCTTGCAAAATTATTGCAATTATTTATGTTACTAAGACCGTGGCAACAGCAAGTGCCGTTTATACCACTGCCCCATGAACAAAACCAGTTGAAAATGGTAAGATACATTTAGGTCGAGTATAGACAAATTTATTTTAATGCATTTGTTTTCTTAGTCAACCAAAATAGAACAGATAATAATTCTAGTAATTGCCACTTTTGTTTTGATAGTATTCACAAGATACAATTGATTTAATTAATTCACTCTTAATTATTTTAAAAACTCCACTCGCAGACTTTTTTGTTAAATTACTTAGCTTATTCCTTAATCTACTTTTTCTTTATTATCAGTTCTTATTTTATGAATGAAGTTAGCTGCGTTTATTCGGACATAATATCCACAACGGAGTTACCAGTCGCTAACACTAAAAAAATTTTTTATTCTTACATATTGGAAAACATTTTCAAATCTTATATGAAATTATAAGAACGACATAATTCATATGTATCTGCTTTTTTATATTCCCCTTTTTTTGTAATTTCGAGCCTATCATTTCAGAAAAGAAACCAAATTTATTAAACTCATTAATTTACATGAAAGAAATGAAGAGTCTGTACTAAAATCATTTTTATTACAATATATTTTAGTTAGAAATAGCGAAAAAATGACCAACCATTTATTATAAATTATTCCAATGTTTTGGTATTACGTAGAAATAATTTTCTTTATTTGAATTAGATTGAGTCTGACGTTAACAGTCAACTCTTATAGTATGTTCCCACTTAGTTAAGCTTAAGCATGATATAGACGATGAAATTTGTTTGCAAACAAGGTTTGCTGGCTATCAAATTGCATCGTCTATACTCAAGTTTGCAAACCAAAATTTGGTTTGCAAACTAGTTTGCAGTGAAATTAAAATTTTTCAATTATTTGTTAAGTTTGCAAACTCGTTTGCTTGTGTATATCGAAATTTGCAAACTTCTCATAATTTAAGAATTTTGGTGAGCGTCGGACAACCAAAGATTACGGATAAAAATTATTAATTTTTGGTAAAAAGAAAAATAAATGAAAAATAATTAAAAAATTGCTAGACATTAGACAATTATTGAAGAAGTTTATATATTTTAAAAATTATTTTGTGCTAAAAACATTTTTATAGTAAGCTTTAATACTTAAACAATTATTATATGCATAAAAATTTTAAAATGTAACATATTAAAAAATTGAAACAAAAATAATTTTAGTTTAAAAAATGAAATAAATAACAGGTTGCTATGATCATCACCTCAATTTCTTCAGTTTCAATTATTGTTTTGCACTCTGTACTTGCTCCGCTGTTGATATGAACGCTGTAGAAAATAAATCAAAATGAAGTTTGCCAACCTTGTTTCAAAGTGTATAGCAAAGCGCATATTCGGTTTGCAAATTTGGTTTGCAAACAAATTTCATCGTCTATATCATGCTTTACTAAATAAATTTCATTAACCATGCACAGAGAGCTCTCGTGCTTTTTAACTAACTTAAAAATGTAATAAGAAATTTAGAACAAAACTGTCGAATGTAACTTTTAAAAATTAATTTCTCACAAGGAAAATCACCAAACGTTGAAGGAATTGACATATGTTTTGAATGTAAAATGTAAATAAACAACAGCTGAGCTGCAAACAAATACATTGAGGATGTCAGTACTTAATAAAATTTTTGTTTTAATTAATTGAATTTGTAATGGTTATATAAAATGATTTAATATATTAATTTAAATTTATTATTTTGTGTGGTGTATTATTATATAAAGTTTGTTTAAAAGAACAGAAGCTCTTTTCAAAGTTTTTAACACATAAAAGCTCTTTTATATACAATAAGTAAATGATGCCAATGGAAATGACAAAATAATGAAGTTACTTAAGTAACTTACTAAGTAAGCAGTGCAAACACACTACTTATTATTTGTGTATAATAATCATATGAAACTGTGAATGTCTTTTAATGCATTTTATTATAATATTTGAAATAAATTCGTTGACTTACCCACTTTGTATTGCAAATATTTACTAAGGTTACTCTACGCCGTACCATATTTCAAATTAATAGGTCAACTGCCTCACTTTATAGAATTATCACACAATGAACGATGAAACATCCGAGATGTTATCATGAAAAAAGACAACTGTACATTTTATCTCTAATGTTAATATTTATCGTAATATAATTTTAAAGAGCGCGTAAGAGATTCATTCAAAAATAAATTACTATTTTGTTGCGATAAAACATAATATTTACTCGTAAAAACAATACATTATAATAAATATAACTTTTATACAAATTTATGAAAGCGTTATTGATAAATTGGAAAATGGACGTATTTAAAGTTTCTATATAAAGTGTGTTCTTTTCACATGAATGGTACACCTATTTTTGTCAACTAGCACAGTATAAAAATAACGTTACACTTTTACTGTTTATTGGTCTGTCTTTCAAAAAAGTTAAAAAATTGGAGTTTTTTACTCTAATTACATAAACAAAGGAATTATCCAAATTCCTTTTCAAAAGAATAAAAAAGGATTCAACGATTAAAATACAAGGCGTAACAAATTGCCATCTAGCGGAAACTAGCATATGAATTGTGTATGTCCGAACCGATGTGTTTATTTTATTTGTCATATAAGTTCATTTATGAAGTAAATTCTGTTAGGAACATTATTGAATGGCAGTTCTCAGCTGTTTGCGTAAAATTAAAAACAATCAACAAAATTAACTGTTTTCAATTGTTCACAGTTTTTTTAAAATAACTTCAAATTTCACGATTTGAAAAAGTATTAACTAAGCCTAAAATTGATAAAAACACTACATTTTAGGAGCGAAGGAGTTGCAAATGTTTTGCGGATTTTGTCATTAATTGATTTTTTAGTAACATTTAAAATATTAAAAGTAGTCTGAATAATAAACATATATTCATATAACAATGCATTTGTTAATTTCACACAATGTGTGAGTAAGGTGGATAATTTTGGGGGTCCAAATTTTTCATATATCTTGGTATTAATTATTTTAAGCATTCAACTTCTAGACAACATAAGGCAGGAAAGAAAGCTCTCAGTCGAAAAAAATGATCGATCACTTCATCTGTTGCCGTAAGACTATTGAAGTATTAGTATTGCATCCAATTTTAGCAGTATAGACAAATACATTTAAATAGACAGAAGCTTTTATACGAAAAGGAAACTCCACCGGGGTTGCCTAACAACCTTACTTAATATATTAGTAATATGTGGGTTCTGATATCAACCGCATTAACATAGACGGTGATTGAAAACATATCCATTGAAGCAACTAATTCCACGAGTACTGTAAATATTTAGGAAAATCAAATTAAAATTTTTATTAAAATAATTTACTTTGACATCAGTATATGTACTGTTTTTTCTATATACAATTAATATATAAGTTATATATAGTTAATTTACTATAAAAGAATTACCTGTAAAAATAAATGATATTGGGTCTCAGGCAATATGTTTTCATTGCCTAAGTTGGTTAATGGAAAAAATAATGGGACCAATACAGATCTACTATTTCGTAATGTATTTTGTAATATTATGGGGAGGTTCAAACAATATAATGAATTAAGAACTTATTTTGAAAGCACAATATAGATAACCGTGTATCTTCGTATTTACAGGAACTATTTTATATTTCGTTATAATAAAATATATTAATTTCTCAACTATACCTACATATTTTTTTATTTTATTTTGCAATTTAGGTCATATTTGCGCTGTATCTTTTTGCCGCTACTCGGCGTCTCCAATTTCGTGTTGCCTTTTATTTTTTAAGTGTGGAGCTCGAACTTTTGTGTTTCTAAATACATTTTACAACTTCGATACTGCTATTTTAAATATTTGCCAAAAAAAAAAAAACGGAAATAGTCCTCGCTTTTTTACTGATTTTCATTAATTTTATTTGTCAAACTTGGAAAAAAACGATTTGCAGCCATTCTCTATTCGTTTACTATCTCCATGATGCGTTTTACAAATGTTGTGGAAGTCTGCATATTTCTTTGAGTCATTTCCATATGCATTCATCCAAAACATCACACTTCCTTGGAAAATGTCTGAGTGTGTTTGTGATACTTGTTCCGCTTATTACCTGTACCAGTAACCACGACATGACAAACCTTCCACTAAGATTTAAACATTTAACCATAATGTAGTTAAATATAGAGCAACTACGATTCATACATAACAATACTATAGCATAACAGTATTTATCGTATCTTGATATAACACAAAAGAATCTATACTCCTACCGGCGGAGAAAGATATATAAGTTATCTTACATAACCATTTGTTATTCTTGCAAACTGAGTTTTGCTTTGAATAAATGTGCGTTCACATGCTTTCCTTAACTTTATGGAAATCTTTAAAGTAATATTATTGCCACTATTGGACCAGTAGCAAGTCTAAAATATAATACATACATATATACATAGTGCATTACACATCACTGATAAAAATATCAGTTTAAAGTTTTATTCCGAGCGATTATCTTTTTATGGACTTCCCTTCAGATTTACAAACCATAGAGAAAAACTAATCACCATTTTTCAGTTACATATATAAAAGTAGTAGAGCTTTTGTAATTCTTTTTCTTGGGTTTGGCAATCAATTTTGTGTGCAGGGCTTGTCAATATTAAAAGTACTTCTCAGAGGTTTACCTACGTACTGCCCTGACAATTAATTTCATAGGGCGGCATTTTGTGTTGTATAGACGTGAGCTTAAGTTTGCACTACCCATTTGTCGGAATGATAGGAATCGGTTAGCTATATACTAATTTGTCCTTATTTTTTTTTTCTGTGAAGAGAAACTATATACTTCATATATCTAAATTTCACTGAGGTCAGTTTAAATTACTATATAGCTATAGTGTAGTTTACAAGGAGAAAGACTTTATAAAAAATTAATTTTTAACTGAGCTAATCGATTTTGGCCATTTCCCAAAAAACTTAGTGGAAGAATGGACATTGTAAATAATATTTTATAGGTAATTATACTTCTTCTAATTAAAAAAATTAAAACTAGAAATCGTTTTAATTTTGCTTAATTATTTTCTATATATATCTTCATATATGATTATAGAAAAAACAATCTTTATCTTTTTTATAAACGGGACAAATATATATACGGGACTCAAAACGAAATAATTAAAACAAGTACATCATGTGCTAATATAACAATTCTTGTATTTATATAAAACCTTTCTAAATATTTACAGAAGCAGTAACAACTAACTTAAGAATAATGGATTTACAATTTACAATTTTAGTGTAAAAATTTAGAATACCTTACTTTATAAAAAGGCATAAAATTAAATTATATAATAAATTATATTTATAATGGGATTCATTAATATGAATAAAACAAACATGTAGATATAAAAATTTGCATTTTATGGCGTGCGATAATTTAGAATTGTGTATTCTAGACCTAGTCTACTTGCTAAAATGCTCAATTTGTTGTAGCACCCAACTTCTTGACTTGGAAGGACTCATATGTGGCGGACACAAGATCACCTGACTTTTTTGGACTTTTGGTGTGGCTAAAGATGTTGTTGAAGACAAAATTAAATTCTTTGAAGAATTGGTTTTATCATTCTCTTTTATCATAATCTCTTTAGTTTCGTAATCTAAACGTTTCTCGTTATCATCGCTATAAACCGCCGAGTCTCGAAAATCTGTTTCTAAACATGCTTCAACGTTGTCTTCATATTCAAAGTTATTTGATTTATCGAGACTGTTGGACACCAATGAACGTTTATCACAAACACTATCGCTTGAAGATGTTAAAGAAAAAATAGAATCACGTTGCAGTGACTCTGGAGTCTCAGTTTTGAACAACAATGTGGGATCAATATAATCAACATGTGCCATTCGTTCTCCAACTGCTTTGCTGCCTTGCCGATGTAGTATACTTTGCCGATGCATTTCTGAAGCATCAGATATGCGTCGTATTAGTGCTTTATTGGATTTCCCATAGAAATGATTATAACCTTCCACAGATTTACCTAAACGAGAGAAGAATGAATTATCTGATGCTGAAATGACACCCAGATAACTGCTTGGCACTTTATGACGTTTGATGGAGGTATTCTTTGTAGGCTCAGCAGAAATAACTTTATTCAATGAATTTGATGATTGTGAAGAATATGTCGTTGGTGACGTTATTAACTTAATCACACTTTCTTGACTATCATGTTTTGGTGTAGAAGTGGTAGGATTGGAGGAATTGGCAATAACTGGACTAACTTGTGCGAGTTGATTAAAATCATTTGCAGTTTCGGTATCATTTTCTGCAAATTTTATTAAATTATCTTCTGGAGAATAAATTAAAGTCACATAATCCGAATCGGGTCTCGAAAGACATGAATTCTTTTTCTCACGTAAATAACTAATTTGATTTTTTTTGTGAGTATTTGATTGAGTACAAAATTTATAAGGAACATGTACATTTCGTAGTAAAGTTTCATATATTGCATCGCTTTCCACAACTTTGAGAGAAATATTCTTCTTACATATATGCAGGTCATTTTCTTCTTCCAAAGGTGGTGGCGATCGTGAAGGTGGTCTTGGTGGCAATTCTTCTTTCTGTATATTTGCAATTGGAACAGCACGATAATGTGGAAATCGTTTTCTTAAGACTCGTTTATAAATTTTTTCATAGTCTTTATTAGTCTGCAAAATATCGGTAACGATTTCTGCATCTAATTTGTGTTTTTCATTCGGAGAAAAATTCAATTCACTTTTATCTTGTACCACATATTTCCCACTCAGAATCTCTTCATTTTTATCGACAGAGTCAGTATCACTTATTGTTTTCCCTTTTTCTTTTTTCTCCACAAGATTATCTGATGATTCGGTTATTTTTAGGATTGTGTCTGTTGTATCATTTAATTCGGTTAAGTCCGTGTAAAATTTGGAGGATTCTCTTTTAGCACCGCGTTGTTTTTTCAATGTTACTATACGTTTCGGTAATATTTTGTTATTGTACTGTTTGACGTCAAAAAGCTTTTTAGATTTGCTTTTCTGCGGATCTAAATTCGTATTGCTGCTGTGCAGTGAAAATCGTTCCTTCTTATTCAGTAACAGATTTTGTTCACAACTTATACGAGGAACAGATTTGCTACGCTCCTTAAGTGCTTTATCTGAGAATATAAATGATTCCTGAGGTTGACGATTAATATTGGTTAAAGATCTTAATATATTTTCCTCCGATGCAATAACATTGTCTGCACACTTATTCTCATTATTCACATCATAAGTGTTATCCTTTCCACTTACTCTATTTGTATTGCCTGATGTAGTACCTGATGTACTCGAAGGTGGTAAATCTTTAACATGAAAATTATCTTGCACAGAGAGATCATCACACTCTTTTGATAGATCAGGGTCATTTAATTGCTCAAACGATCCAGAATTTGCAAACGTCTTGCGTTTTGTTTTGGAACGATTTCTGATTTCTGTACGACGATATTGATTACGCCGCTCTAGATAAACTGGGGTAGATGAAGAATTCAAACTCCATTTCCACGTACTTTTATCAGTAATGCGGTCTAAAAAAGATTCAAGAAATAAATATTTCTTATTATTCAATTATTATTTATTATTCAAAATTGGAATATATATGTGTGTATGAGGTTGAATGCTTCAATATTGGAATATAGAATTTGAATTATTTTATAATTGATATAAAAGAAGTTGTGAAAATTACAGAAACGTAAAACTTTGTTATTTTTAACAAAGTTAATATATATTATATATTCAACGCTACTACAGAAGATAATGCACTGTACTTTAAACTGTTACCAGAGAAATAATGTTAGTAGAGCAGTCATTAAAAAACCAGGGCTTATTACTGTGATACTGTACTGTGATTTAATTGCTAAAATTAGGTAAGTTGTGCGATATTATGATTTCAGATAAAATTAAATGAATATGGATTTCTATGCTAAATAGATGCTATGCATTTAGCACAGATATTTAGTCAAATACGAATGAATGTGCGACTGAAAGTAAGAATGACATACAATATGCTTAGAATTTTTGCGTCATACTTACTTTGTTCCTGAATGCAACAATCATCTACAATCATCTAAATTTTCCAAATTATACTTGTATATACTTGTACCATATGTATACTGTACAGTATTGAAAACAAGATATTCCGTGTAAAACAAAGAAAAATGTTAGTCACTCTGAATATCGAGCTGCCGCCCTGCCCTTTTATTATTATTAGGTGCAATTAAATTAGACTCTACGAATTATGATATAGAGGTAAATTTACGAATAAAGCTTACAACACTAAAAGTGAAAAGAAAAAATAATATTACTTATCATTATTAAAACTAATGCCAAATACATATAAACATCTACTATATTGCATAAGATTTGTAGATCCCAATTATATAATTCAGATCAAAATAGCATATAATCTAGAGTTACTTTATGTTTGATTATAAGAATTAATAAAGCGCTTTCTATTAATGATGTTAAATATTTTTACATATATGTGATTTTAATATTTTCTCTGTCCATATCACATAACATATATATAAATAACTTTACCACATCCTTTACTTACAGAGTTACGTTATGGATTTAATCAAAAAGTTTTTTGTTTAATATGAATATGAATATGAATACTTGGTTCACAATATTTTAAACTAATGGATTGGACAGTTACACATATTTTGGATATTAAAGGACAGTACAACTTAACGCACAACATGCCTATTTCTGAGTTTTGAATAAGGAACTTTGAAGAATCTTCAGCATGATTCGTATTTGTTGCTGATAATATTGTTGAATATAAAATTAATAAATCATTATGAAAATATTACATTTCTAGTAAAGATATTTAATTCAGATTGATTTGTTTAAAAAAGAACTAAAGTAATATATAAATGATTTGATTGACATTAGGTCTGTTCCACGAGCTACTCGTAGTAAAACTCAAGTAAAACACAAGTAAAGTACAAACTGAGAGCGTAACATAAATAAAGTGCCAAATTACGCTCTTTACAAAGATTTTCATGGAACAGCTTTGTGTAAAATCTGGTGAGAACACCAGTGCCGCGCAAATAAACAATACAAAAATTTAAATTCAAACCAAAACAGCTGATTCACACATCACACAAATTTTACTTCAAATAAAATCTACGAGTAAAGCCTACGTAGCATTTTTCAAGTACAACAGGGATGTTACGCTCTCATTTACTCGAAAATTCACTGGTGGAACGCACTTGTGTATACACAGTGCTACTCAAAGTTACTATGAGAAGCTCGTGGAATAGACCTATTATATGAGAGTATATCTAATTTTCAGTAATCCCACAGCTGACTTTCTTTCTTGTTTGATTTTTTTATGGTTTAAGAGCTTACATGATACATTCTTTTGTTGTAATTTAAGTAATTATTTACCTTCCTCATCTCCCAATTTGTAAACAAGTTCCTTAACATGATTCGGAATATTATCAAATTTTTCCAATATAACAGCTTTAATATGTTGAGTCCATAACCTTTTCTGCTCTCGGTTTTTAGCAGTAAGCTTAATTTGATGTCGCGGTTCGTCGTATGGAATTACATAGAAACTAGTCGGATCTCCAGGCAAATGCTCACTAAGCATCAAATTATTTTGCTAAATAAATATATAAAACAACACTTCATAATTCTAGAAAGCACTAAAGAATTAGATAAATATGTCACCTACATGTATATAACTTTTGAATTGTAAACGACTATCTTCTTTTTGTTTAGTTAAAATCAGCATAGTCGAAAACAGAAATACCAAGCGCGGTTTACTGTTTTCCATCAACAAACCTTCCTGTCGTAACTCTCCTAACACCGTAAGTTCTAAGGGTAAAAATAAAATGAACTATATAGCTGTATCCAACAATGTTGTTTTTGCACTTACCTGGTCCTAACCAACCGTCTAAAATGCCAGCTAGTTCCTTAACACGACTTTGCTGTTCTAACTTTCGTTTGACTTGGTCTATATTATAAGCAACTTGACGCATGATTTCATGCGCTTGAGTCACTTCTTTCACGTCAGAATGTTTGCGTAAATTCTAATTACAAAATAACATAATAAAAATTTAAAACTATTTCGTTTAGATATTCCTGATTTCGCATTTCTTACGTCTAGAAGCAAATGATATTTAAGTATGCGCTGCACAGGTTTCAATAGGTATGAACCCAGTGGCAAGGTGTGCTGCAACATTTTTTGTGTAGATGCCAGTAGGGCGTTCGTATGCGTCGCTTGCAGTAATTTTGTCAGTAGAGATATAGCTTCAGGATAACTTGTACTGCAAAAAATAAAATTCAAGTTTACTTAGCTGAATTTACATTATAAGTGCTTAAATAAATAAAAAATTTAATCGAGTAATATAGAACAGTGGACATTATGTGTCAATGCCATACGAACTAAACACTTACCAATATTTTGTATACACGTCGAACCCGCCTCGTAGTTCAATAAAACAGTTTGCGATTTTAAGTGAATTTATCCCAGATTCCATTAATTTCTTTAGAAGTGTTGTATTGAACTTGTAGACATCTTGAATGTTGGAGAACAGTATTTTTAACTCGTCATAACTCAAGCAGGCTCGTTCCTTCCAATCAAGCAAATATCTAAAAAGTGTGTTTTATATATAATCTTTTTTATTAATCGTTTTTTATAAATATAATGTATTTACCCCTTAATGACTTGCCCTAAATCTTCTACGTAATTTCGTTCTGAGTCTATAATTTCCATACATGCGCGTTCGTAAACACTTAAACTAATATGAAGATCAGTTGATTCATTTTCGCTGTGGTCAGCTAAGCTTTCCACACTTGCTAGATAGGAGCTGTTTAGTTTGCTATTTAATTGATCTGATCCTGAACTTGAACTCGATGTTGTAGAACATATTGATGATGATGATAAAGGTCTGATTTTTAATTTAGCAATGTCTGGTATAATGAGTCCGGGATGTTTCCGCACCTCTTTTGGGGAAAATTTTGGCTTATTTATTGTTACAAGGTCTATGCTTTCACCTGGCGATTTAACACTTTTGTCTTCTAAGACATTTATAACATTTTTGTTTGATATTATTGGTTTAGTATCACTTTCCTTATTCGCTTTCACAGATAAACTATTTGATCGGGAATAGTATCGTACGGATGATTCTGAAACTTTCGAAGAAGTAACAGCGGAACTGCTTCGCGCTAGGGATTTTGATATTAAAGGGATGTTAATTGTTTCTACTACTCCTTCAGTTTTTGTTGGAACACCAAAAGATAACTTTTCTGTGAGTGTCATATGCTTTATGCTATTATTTAAAATTGAATAATTAATTGCCTCGGCGATTTCTTGCGGATTTGTAGCAACTGACTTCCCACTATACGTATTACGTTCAATAGATTGAATTTTACTGGCGCCGAATTTGTGATTCGATTGCTTGAGTTTTTCTAATTCAATAAGCGACACAGTTCTCTCTGAGTCTGTATTAAATAGCGAAAGTTTAGGTTTATTATTTAATTTATAAGTAGGATTAGAAGGTGATAAACTTGTCGTTGTTTTTGTATCAATGTTGTCATGACAGTCAATTAGAGATGGGGTTGTTATTTCAATGGATCTATGATTTGGTGTAGAGAAACTTAACGCATCCAGATATTCTGTGCTAGAGTCAAATGTGTCCACAAGGTCATTGCCAGATTGTGTAAGTTTACCAGTAGTTTTCGAAAGCGGAATATGCGAAAACTTAGCTTTATGAGTGTTTGTTGGAGTTGAAGGTTTTTTCACAAAACGGTGTTGTAATACTGGACTGAGTGATAAAGTTTGTAAATTATTCTGTACCGCATTAATATCAACTGCGTCTACCGGTTTTATGTCTGATATTGTGATCAGGCGTTGAACATTCGGAGACAACACGCGGATATTACTACGGTGCTTTGAAGAGTTTTTGGTAGATAAGATTGATTTATCCTGATCCTGGATATTTGTTGTGGTGCTGGAATTAATTTCAGCTACATCTGAAGTCTTTGTATTGCACTGATAAGTTTTATTTGCACTTTTGTTTATACCCGATATGGATTTCTGAGTTAAACTTGGTGGCAAGTCATAATTAGAGTTAATGTTTAACTCTGGTCCTATAAAAATTGGCTGATCCATTGTTATATGAGAGGAGTTTGACTTTTCCAGACTTGTTTTCGATGCATTAGCAGTCAAATTGTCATATATACCAAGTATTGATTCTAGTTCTGTTGCACTTCCTGAAAAAATAAAACCAAATATTTTTAATAAATATTCAATAACAAAATAGGCATTAAAAGTTTTATTCATGTTAAGTTTTCGACATGTAGAAAGTATTTCATTTTATTTAGATGAGCTCTAATAATATAAATTTCAAACTAATTATTATTAAGATTTTACTAAATAAATTCAATTTTATCTATTCTATTTATTCTATTTTAATGAATTCTAGCTTCCATCGCTTTTATATGATGGACATGTACTCGGTGGTTACTACAAAAACAGATTATACAGATTAGTAATAAAAATTTTAATATGTTACATAATAATAGAAATTACAATTGTAAAATTCACTCTTATTAAATAAAAATTATTCTGTAAAATCTTAATTGGCATTCATAAAATCAAGTTTTTACAATATCTAGACAATCGCTTGCATTAAACTGATTGATCGAAAGCTTGATTATCGCACTTGCACTTAGAGTTATCTGGGAAATTACAAGGACCACAGTTGCTAAGGAGCTCTAAAATATTCGTAATACTATTATTAAGAAAACAGAAGTTTATGCCGACAGGAGAAAAAACGTATTCGTCATTTAAATAAAACATCCGATATTATAGATTTTTTGGTAACAAAAAATATATCCAAACATTTTTTATTCAATTAAATTAGAATTTAAAATTAAATTCAGATCATTTCCTTATAATCCTGACGGTGTTTAAATCAATTATTGGAAAAGAAAAAAACTTGACATTTTTCAATAAATAAACTTATTGGGATTTATTTAAATCGTTACTCGAATACGGGCATTAAAGGAGATATGAAATAATCCCTTTTTTACCAGTTGATGCTTTAAAACAAGAATTAGAGACCTTTCCAGATATCCAGCAAACTGCATGGATGTCTCAAAGAGGCAATGAGGTTAAAACACTAGAGAAAAAAAATTTACGCCGAAAATGGCAAGTCACTCAACAAATTCAAATTTAATAAAGCAGATGAGGAGCTAAAAAAAAATTTGTCCATATCAAAAATAATATATCTATCTGAGCCTTTTCTCAACGAAGAACAAAACTATTTTTCTATGGAAGAACAATATGACAATAGTACATGGACTGAAATCAAACGCATTTGAAAAACATCTAACATACATTCTTCGGCCTAATAGTACTTCAAAAAATCACGTTACAACTTTTCCAATAACAAAAAAAGATGCAGGGCTTGCCTTAATAATGGCTGACTTTAAGATCAGCTTATAGTTATAATTCATTTATAAAACTTAAATTTATTTCAAGTTTATGGAAAATCGCAGAAGTAATTATGATTTTCAAATCAGAAAAATATATTTATATCATCTCATCTTATCGGTCAATCTCACAATTTCATTGATATCACCAATAATATTAGAATACTCGATTTGAAAAACATTCTTTCCCACCTAGCTGGAACAGGTCTATGGAATACAACAAAAGTCGAAGAAGCGGTTGAGCAGAAAAAAAAACCACGAGTATTTTTCAGAATGATTATAGACGTAACGCATTGGGATAATACCAAACAGCATGACAGTCTTATGCGCTCAGGAATAGGTTAAGAAAGTTGCAACTAATCTTCAAAACGCAATAAATTTCAAAACTGAATTGATGACAGCTACAGAATTTAATAGTATATGTAAATTTTACAGAGAAATTCCTTGGTTTACTCTCAATGCTAAGTTGAGCTGGAAGGACTACAGAAAAGTATAAAGAATTAAATCTTTAATTATAAAACATGAATTGGTTGATTAGCGAAAATCAAATTTATCTATATCAGGGCTGTCCAAAGCACGACTCACGGGCCCCAAGCGGCCCGCGACATGTTTCTGAGCTACCACAATTGGGCAAAGTTTTCTATGTTATATTTTAGTAACATCTCATATTTTATTTTTATGTTATCCCAAATAAATGAATTAAAGTATATTAAATACTTTATTACACTTAACGTTAGTTTTCTTAATTGACAAAGACTTAAGTATATATTTTATTGTGCAATTGATTCAAAAAACTCGTATCCAGTGCCGTAAGTCATTACATTAATAATAAAATATTTTTCATATGGCAACAACTAATATTAATAATGCTGATATTGATAGAAATGTAAAAGATATATTAAGAAGAGTTAATGAAACTAAATTTAGCATTATTGCCATATTTTTACTACTCTCTGGAAAAATTATGAACGTTTTCTGCGGCCCTCTAACGTATTTAAGTGATTGTATTGGCTCAAGATTTTATCTGTTCTGTACAGCCCTGATCTATATAATAAACTATTGCTATGCAATATGAATATTTTAGAAAAGAATAAAATTATTTTTCCTGAGTGAACATATGAGTAAATAAGGGATAAATAACGAATCTTTAATTATGAAAGCTAAAACCTTTCTAACTGGCATTTCCGTTTTTATTCAGCTTTTACCGGCTTATATCCACTTAAATTCCCACTTCCTTATATCCACTTAAGTGCGTTAAAATATGTTCAAAGAGCTCTCAGAATAATCAACACATTTCTGTTTCAAGTCTCCTGTTAGCAAATGAGGGAACCATTTCGAAGACACGTTTCTGGTCTACTGTTCTTAGTCTGTTTAGTTATACCTCCCCGATTTTCATTTTACAGTGTGGTGTTACCAATCAAGTTGGTAGAGAAAATTTTGTTTAATTTTAAAATATGGTATTTATCTCTCAAACTTCTCGTATGTAAAAATCAGATTTTCTGGAATTAATTCAATAACGTTTCGAAAATCGGTCTAAGTTTAAACGGGCTGAACGATTGAATTTATTACTAAACAGTAAACGATATGAAACTCAAGTAATAACATTTTCTTTGCTACTTAACAGTAATTTAAATGACTTAAGTGATTTAAGTAACCACCGATAAGTTGATTTCAATACACCATATCATAGAATTCACATTTTTTTTCTTGGAAGCAATACTTTATAAACACTACATTTTTCCAATATGAAAATGTATTTTACAATCATTTATTCGATATAAAATATGTGTGTTACAAAAAATATAGTTTATATATAGTTTGATTCAGAAAGTGGTCCAATTTACAGTTCTAGGACGGTTTTTGATTGTGATACATCTCTAAACGAAATGTCGACGCAGCTCAATATTTCCCTAATCTGGATTCAGGATAATCTAGGTTATAGGAATATTTTCAGCAGGCAAGTTGGCCACAAAGGGAGCTTCAGGACCGCACTCGGAACACCTAAATAATCTGAACATATTGCTAACATCATGCAAACTGTTACTGAGTTCTTTTTGTACTGCAATATTTAATAAAACATGGGAAGACTCAACGATATGCAGGCATCTGTATGCAATCTGGCTACGTTCCGATAAAAGGAAATCTAAAATTCTCATTAAGATACCCTGTAGAGATATAAGTATTTGGTAGATGCAATTACAGGTCACTGTAAACTAGGGAACCATGCTAGAAGATCAGGTCTCCCTTTCAATCAAATTTGTCACAGGTGTGGGGAAGACGATGAGAGTGCGTCTTATCTACTATGTTTTTACCCAGCTCATGCACGGCGGCGACTCAATATATTAGTAGACCCCTTTCTTGAGGATCTTGACTAGTTACGGGATCTGACACTAAATAGCATTTTAGGCTTCGTAAAAGGTTCTAGGTGGTTTTAAACCCTGAGTTTTTTCTATATATGCGGCAACATAATGAATCAATAGGACAAGTGAATCCACTAGGGATCGCCGGCATAACCTAACCTAACCCAGAAAGTGAGCACATTTATGTGTATGATTAAATAATGGGTTAAGTTGTCTATGTTACAATTCCTGCTCCTCGTATTTAAGACTCGATCTTGTGACGATTTTTTCCAACACGTCACAAATAAATTATGATAGTTGAAAATAACATGAAGTTATTATAGTAAACAAATAAAAAAACCCAACAACAGAATTAAAACTATTTTTAGTCGAAAAATATATATACATGAAGTTATTATTATTATTGTAAACAAATAAAACAATAGAATTAAGCTAATATTAGTAAAACCAAACCCACGAAAAAAAATATTAATCTAAGCTATGAAAAAATATATAAAGTATTAATAAAGTAAAAGGAATTATTTTAGAAAGTAAGATAATAATAAGTAATTATAAATTATCATAGAATTTAGTTATCAAAATTAAGAGAAACAATTAATCTCTTGAAAATACAAATTAAGTAATAATACTTCCGATTTCTTTGAGGGTAATTATTTTTACAAAATTTTAATAATAAATATGCAGCGAACAACAACAGCAGAACATAGCGAAATCAGTAGCAGGCAATAACAACTTTGAAGAAAGCTACACAGTATGCACTCAGAAGTCAGTTATCCCGTTATATAAAATCCGTATAAAAGGAGAAGCAAAGTAAAACACAGCGACTTGGCCACAGCATTTCGAGCAGTGCACATCACCAGAGAGACTTGGCCACAGCACTTCGAGCAGTGCACATCACCAGAGGGACTTGGCCACAGCACTTCGAACAGTGCACATCACCAGAGGTTCAATCACAGGTCGTGAAGCAGAACACTTCACAAGGTAATCACAGAGGTAATTATTAAGTCATAGAACTGATTCCTTAGCAACGCAGCCTTGTCGGTAGCGTTGGTTCCAAGTTCATCAGTGTAGCCCTATCGGTAACACTGTTCCTTAGCAACGCAGCCTTGTCGGTAGCGTTGGTTCCAAGTTCACCAGTGTAGCCCTATCGGTAACACTGCTCCTAAGCAACGCAGCCTTGTCGGTAGCGTTGGTTCCAAGTTCACCAGTGTAGCCCTATAGGTAAAACTGTTCCTAAGCAACGCAGCCTTGTCGGTAGCGTTGGTTCCAAGTTCATCAGTGTAGCCCTAACGGTAACACTGTTCCTAAGCAACGCAGCCTTGTCGGTAGCGTTGGTTCCAAGTTCATCAGTGTAGCCCAGTCGGTAACACTGACTCTTTAACAACGCAGCCTCGTCGGTAGTGTTGGTTCCAAATC